TTGCATAACTTTTTTTGTAATACAGATATTGTAATACTGCCTTTATTATTAAATTCTACATTAAATTACCTTCAATTTGATAGATAAACGTTTGTATTTAAGTGAAAATTAATATATTCGACACGCACACAAAGTTGAAAAACATGAAACTTTCAAAAAATGTCCACACTTTTGGCCACCACTGTATATAATGGTCTTTACCATCGCAGAAATATTTTAAAGTCACCTTTTTAATACGAAATTTCAAACAGTTTTTCAGAAGCTTTGAATGAAAGTTTTCTGACGAGAAAAGTGTCCTAAGAAAATAAATTTGCTGAAATAATTTCCATTAAAATTCTTTAAAAAGGTATAGAAGTTGCGAAATCTTTTTCTCAAGAATCAGAAAGTTACATTCATTGTTCACTTTTAACTTTAGATATTTGAACAACATCCAAAACATCAAATTTTATGTTTTCACGTTGCTTTCTTTTTATATCGGACTGGGTTTAAAAGCATTAAACGATTCTCAAATGTAACAGGAATATCTGCTTTGTAAAAACTGAACTTTTATTTATATTTTAGTTTTTTCATATATATGTAATATTCTTATGAAATGTTTCAAACGGAGAAAAAAAGGACTTAATAAAAGGATTCATTCTGATATTTCTGCCCTTTTTATTTATAATAAGTCAAGCATTTCATAGAATTTTACTTCCTTGCAAACAATTTAGCACTTTTTAAAACAAAACTTCTTTTTGCTTAGAAAATTTCAAAACCTTAAAATGAATTTTTTTTAAAAAAAGAACTATCAAAAAAGAAATTTATTATTTTGTATGAAGAAAATGACATAAAAAATTTACGATAAGCGAGAATTTGAAAAAGCATCAATAAATGCAATGTCGCCCGATTGTTTTGTTTTTCGAAAACAAGCTAAAAAATGGTTTAAGAAAAGAAGTCCTTCTAATTTTGTTACGAACAAATAATTTTGCGGTAAAATAAAATGTTTTGAAACAAATTTTTTATTTTAATGCAGAATCTTTTCCAACGCCGCATTGACTTTACTTTTTACTATGAACTTTTTAATTAAAATAAAATTTCTCCTAAAATATGTAGTTATGAGCTGATAATCTGAATTTCATACTGAACAATCAAACTAGATCCAGTAAGAAAGCATTTTTCCAGCAGTTTGAATTGAATTTTATTATTCTTTAAAATATTAGCATTACCTATTGCAGTTCGTTTTAGTGACAGAATCATTGAAAATACATTATGAAATAATTATTTAAAAAAAAATAAAGACACGCTGAAGCGTCAGCTTAATGGTCGGTGCCAATCGGAAGTCAGCCCGCCAACCAGCTAATTTTTCATAAATACGGCTTAAAATTAAGAAAACAGGCTTAAATTTAAAGCAATCTAAAGACATTTCTTGAAATTTATCTTCAACACCTTTATAATTTTGAAGTTAGTATTAGGTGTAAAGAAATTTAAAAATGGAAAGTAATTAAATTTAGGAATACATTTGGAAGAAAGTTCTGCAATACGTATGATCTTCTTCAAGTCTTAAGTTTAGAATTCTTGCTGATTATGTGAACTATAATTGATCGTTTAAAGAACCATAATCTTTTTATGATCTTGTTTGAAATCATTATTTTTACCTATGCAATGTTGAAACTCCGAAATAACAGTTTATACAGCTCTCCATTAATCCTCCATAACACTTCAGGACTAATAACATTTCGAATTCGATTCTATTTGCTTCAAAGCTATTTTATCACATGTAGGCCACATATATTGAATGAAAAATTTTCACTTTTTATTATCCATTGGCGAAGCAGGTCTTGTTTTGGGTTTTATGGCGTGCGCAGTTTACTTGGACGTCATCACACTTTTCAACTGTGTTCAAGAGTAATAGTAAACAGTGCGCATGCGTTGCTATGGCGACCGCTGCTGTTTCATATTTTCTTTTGAATTCTTTTTTTTATTTTCACCAGCACTTCAAGTTGTAAATACTTTAGGGGTATTTACATAATAACAATTTTATTATTAACTTATAATGACTGTCTTGACGGTGATTTTAATATAAATATGAGTACTGAAGAAGGAAAAGTATTTTGTGACATCTTGAAACACGGATATAGCCAGGATTTGAAACCTCAATTGAGACAGTTTTTGCAACTCATGATTTGAAATATTGTGACGTTTATCGGAGTCAAACCAGAAAGAAAAAGCATTTTACCTATGGGTAACCAGTGATAGTAATAAAACGATTACAATTATTATTTTTACGGTTTAGCAACGGAGAAAAATTATGTATTACTATCTTGAATTATTTTATGATTCAAGCGACAGTGCTTGGTAGTTTCTTGAGACAATCGCCAAATATATAAAGTTTCCTAGCTCCCCCTCCCTCCCCTAATTTATGAACAAATTTTTTCAAAATTTTGTCTACCAGAAATCCAAATATGTAACAAAAAATATATGTTTATTCAGAGAAAGTGCATTTTTGTGGTTGATTTCGTAACTTAATTAATAGTTAGCACTAATTAACTATCATATTTGAGGTCACCCCCAGAACCCCATTTGTTTGAAAGTTATTCAGGGTGATATCTTTTCGCGCACTGTATTGTGCCCAAAATCTAAAACGAGCCAACCTGAATAACTCTTTTTAACCTCGTCTTGTCCCAATGGCAAGTACTTAATGTTACTTTCTTTAAAAACAAAACATTAACCTTCTATTTTTTTTAAACATTATAGTTATGAATCTGAAAACATGTGTACAAAAAAACTTTTACAAATATTTTAATTAATTATTTGACATTTATATAAAAAAAAACATTAAGTTACTCCACTCACCAAACCCTATGATTGTTCATTGTTTCTTCTGAAAATGTCGATATTTTCGATGTTTATATTATGATTGCTTTGCGATTCCTCATTGCTTCTCCTGAAAATGTCGCTATTTTTCACGAAAAACACATTCAGCTTTGTTATACTATATTAAACATAGAGAGCAGCGATGACTCATTGGTAAAGACACTGAGCAGTCACTGTGACGAACTGCTCGGTGTTCGGTTCAATCACTGCGGGTTCTATCCCCGGATATGTTTTGAAGCCCACCCGATGTGTGCCAGCCTATCTGAGAAATAAAAGTGACAAGAGCTGACGATATTTCTACTATTACACCACAGCAAAGCCTTAAGCTCCATGAACTGCAATGGACTGTAGCGAGAATGTTTTAACATGAAATTACAATTTTGAAAATAAAGTACAGTTATCAAGAAAAAGAGTATTAGTTAATGGTTATAGAATACTTCAAAATTTATTTGGTGTTGTTCAAATTTTATAAATCTCGTTTTAAGAAAAGTATGAGGGTAAATATTCATTTAACAACATTTGGGAAGTTAAGAATACCCTGATACAAAAAAAAGGTAAACTATGAAGATTTTTCATTTTCCAACGGCAACAGGAGCATTTCATACCATCGATTCAACCACCAACAATGAGTATACCACCAGCAATTATTCAACCCAAAAATGTGGAAAAAGCATTTAAAATTATAATAACTTTTAAACAAATTGAAGTTTTGATTTAAAAAAAAATCTCGTTCTAAATTCATAAATAAAGAAAGACCTTTTCAGCGCGTCTAAATTCTGTGGCTGCATTCCTGCAGCACAGCCTGCACTTTTCTTTACTACAAGTTTAACGGTTTATGATTTTCGAATTAATGACTCTACGATGCAGAAAATGTCCTGACCTTATACTTAGTTTTTTTTCTTTTTTAATGACCTCCTAAATCTACATTTGACTACCGTGTTTTTCGAGTTGTTATTGAGGTTCGATATTTGTAGTAAAAGGGGAATTTTCCTCTTAAATTGTAAAAAAGGAAAATTAAATAAAAAATAGGAATTAGGATAACACTATATCTTCACTCTAAATTATTATCTGTCCCGCAGTGACAGTAGCACAGCGCAGTAATCGTAAAGACACGGATACCAGTCGAACACCAAAGTCAAGTATCATTGGCTGAGGTCAGTAGCGGTTGGGTGACCACTTTGATCAGCCTTCGTAGGAACCGAGGGTGCCCGGTATCGGTGCTCGTTAAACTGTTCTACCTTTAAGTACTCAACTTCGCGCGCAAGTCGTCGTTCAATCAAGGCAGAGGAGCCATCCCCTCTGCAGAGGATCAAAATTGGGATAATGTGTGTGGATGGTGCATATCTTCAGGTATGTTTCCCAGATCGTAATAGCCCATTGTGCAGCTCTAGTGTGACGTAAACCTACCTACCTAAATTATTATCTAGAAATAAACTGTTCATAATGCATAGCGATTCATGCACTACCATTTGCCGTCGATAGAAAAGAAATTTGATTGGTGCGTTTTTGTGAGAAAATATATTTCATCAATCAAGTTCTTATTCTCCCTCGACAGCAACCGGATGAGCATAAATGGCATGTAGTGAAATTAGCCATGGTCTTAGCATTAGCAGCTGGGTGAACACACGCATAATATACACAGAATTAAGCGAAACCAGCACATAAATAATGTAACATTTATATAACTGACAACTTCCAACACAATTTTTAACTAATCATCATACTTCTTTGGTAAAAGAATTATCACAAATGTAGTTTTTGACTAGATTTCTGAAAACAAGGATAAATATTAAAATGAAATTTTTGATCTACAGAAGACCCTTCTTATGTCAGAGGAGAAAAACGAAAGTAATTTAACAAATAGGTTATAAAGTAAAAACAAACAAAAACATAGTTTGTCTAAATCAAGAACTCCCCCAGACATTCGTTTGGACCTGTAGCAGTGACTATGGTAAAGAGGTTTGACTATTTCAAGTAGGGGTGTGGGATCACTGTTTTGGAGTGGTTTCGGCACGGGTCAGAGGGAGAGAAGGGGAATACTTTTCTTTGATCTATTGTGCTAGTCCTAGAGTGAAGCTATCCTCCCTAAAATGCGTCATTCTTGTTTCCATAGCACTAGACGGCCTCAGACTTTGAGGCGGGATGAGTTTTTAGCTTAGACAAACTATATTAGTCAGTGATTCTTAATCCTCATAGTATTATGCACTACAACACTGAACTCTTGCAAAGCGTCAATGTCATGGTAAAAACATTTTAAATTTAAGTTAAAGAAATAACTAGACATTCATACATTGATTTTTTTTTTCTTTGCTTAGAAAAACGAATTGTGATTTTTTTAAAGAAACTTCTATATTTTTCTGGAGAACTGATGATCTCCCAAATGTTTGTATTTGAGACTTGGTGAGGAGTCACTGTAGACATGTGATAAATCCAGCCGTGATGTTAATTAAAAACTAATTTACAAGATTGCAATTTTGAGGTGGAAACGTAATTCTCTTCCGTAAAAGACGCCGTGCCAGTTAGTGTGGTTTTAATGGCGGATGAGAGTTTCACTTCAGAAAACGAAGCTTTTTTTGAATTCGACACAATAGCATCAACAAACCCTTCCGATTTGCAACTGCCAAACCTCTCGTGGATTATCATCAAAGAGTTGTTGGAAGGTAAGCGATAATTCGTTTCTAATGGCAAATTGCGCATGTTGACCAAATGCACATCGGCTGACCAAGATGTCGATAAGAATGATAGGTCCGATTTTCTTAATCTAGTGTCACCACCATCTTCTAACAGAATAATCATCGGATATTGTAAAGTCAGCGAAAGTAAAAATGACTCTCGAGTCAAAGAGGGTGGGATTTGATTTTGATTCGTGATTGATTCCGGTACAAGCCAAAATGTCGTTGATATTGGTCTGTTGTCCATAACTCCTTCCCCCATTCCGCGGCTATCGTCTGTTCTCATTCTTCGATCAATCATGAGCTCTATGGTTCCATGATTGGGGGACGTGGCTCCATGACTGTGAGGAACTAAAAGTGATAATCTAGATCTTTCATCCTCAATATAGATGGCACTCGTAGTAGGATAATAGTTTGCTTGAACTGGAAGTTTCGGCACATACTGACGCTTCAGCATTTGCAATCCATTCGAATCCGTGAAAAAATTGCCCGAATTTTTTAAATCGCTTGATATTCTCATGACTAGTTCGACATCCCTAGGTAGGTTCGATAAATCGGGAGATACTTCTATCTGTAAACCTGTCGGAGATGCAGCGAAGTTGTAAACGCGGAACGTTACTTTCAGGAAGTTGTGATAGACAATTATCAGTTCAGAAAGAACTGGACCACGCACGATGCACAGCATAGGAAAATGATTGGTTAAATTGCTAACGGCCATCGGTTCGTTGCTTGTAGGTTCGAACAGATAGGCACCGCTGCGGTATTCTTTGGGAACGTAGGCTCTGAAATCGGAATTTATCGATTGCGATTTTTTAGATCTCTTGTTATAAACTTCTTTTAACACTCCCGTCGAGGAAAATGTCACCAAAAGTTGAGAAGACTCTAAATTTATGTTTTCATCAACGGGTTTTTCGAAATTGAAAACGGAATGCTTGAGTGTTGTTGATAAATCATCTTTCAAATAAAGCGAAATCGTGGATTTTATTGAATTGTCTGAATTCTTGTCATCCACTTGGACAATGGAATATACGGAATACGACAGGGGCTTCACTGTCGCTACAAACACTAGCTCGTACAGGTTGTTGGACATAACCAATGGGTCATTCCAAATCGGATTGATTTGTGACATCACTTGCTTTCCCGTAGAATCCAGAACTCGGATTTCTGATCTTTTGACTTTCAGACGAATGACCTCTGAATGTTCGAAAGTGAGAGAATTAAACAAAACAATTTTCCTTCCTTCCTCCGGTATTTGAAGTCGCAAGTGTTTTGTCTGTTCATTCCAAGAAGGTCTGTAAGCTTCCGGAAAAATTTGAGATGTCCATGTCGAACCATCGTTTTTATTTTCCATCAAGAGCATTTGAGTCACATGGGATGTAACCGTCATAGCATCGATGACACCCGTATGAAGCTTCTGACCATAGTCTGCCATTACGTCTTCTTTAGAAGTTCCGGTCACAGCGTCGTGGTGTTGAAAAAGAGCCAGTTTTCGCCTAGCCGACATCAAGAGTTTATAATCTTTCGTAAAAATATACTTAGCTGAAACGTCGATTTTAGTTTTAGCCAGAGAGTACAAAATCTCCGAAGTTCGGAGCCAGTGCTCAAGTTCCTGAGACAGTTTCTTATAAAAGGGCCGAGTAGAATAATAGCCTGTCCAGTACGAAGGTGTTGCATCAGCATAAATGTCGGCATAGGGCATGAAATCCCCCACAATAGATGAAAGTGAAGTATTGCTAAGAGATTGGTCCAGTCTTTTCTTTACTGTGTTAAAATAATCGCTAACCGTACCAAACCTCATTCGCGCATTCCATTCCTTCTTATTATTTATGAAATCGAACAGTTTTTGATAGTTTTCATACTGCTGTACCCACTCCATGTACAGATTATACCGGAAATCATCGCCTAAAGGTACAAGGAGCACGTTGTGACTAAAAAGCGATGCGTACCTTCCATACTGAGAAATCAAGTAGCTGGCTTTCAGCTCAACGTTGCTGTCGGTTATTTCGTCTGCTGTACTTTCTGAGTACTCCCCTCCCACTTTCCGGAAGTCGTATTTCAAGCAGGAAAATGGATCAGGACCACACGTGTACTTGAAACTGTACAGGTCGGAGGGAGCCATGTGACACAAAGTTCGTGGAGCGTCGAATGGCTGCTCCCAATAGAAATCGAACGATCTCGCTTTGGCCAAGAATGCTTTCCAGGAATAATGTGTTCGCAAGATGACGGTCTCCGATATTCCAGACGCGGAGAGTATGTAGGGCACACTAGCAGAATGGCCGAAAACGTCCACTGACCATCCACTCTGCGGGATCGATTGAGTGAACTGCTTCAACCATTGGTGACCTTCAATAAGCTGATCGATGATTGAAAAGTAGCTTGTAGTTGCTTCGTCTGTCATAACCCATCCTCCTGTCACGATTTCTAACTGTTTTCTGTCTAGTAATGCTCTTACTGTCTTCCTTGTTTGTTCAGTTTGCCTGTAAAGACAATGAAAAAGCAAACCAGTCAACAAAAATTTAATTTAGGGAAATTTCACACTTTTACGTTAGTTTCTGTACGCTCGTGTACGTTCAGTCCCTGGCTAGATTATTAGACACACTGTAAGATTCTATGTAAAATCGTAATTATCAGGTAATACTCTACAACTTTATTGTTTTTAGGAGGCTGAAACACTTGTTTATCCAAGTCAAAATTCTTGGTGGTCCCATCAAAACATTTGATGGTTCTGTCAGTGCGAGTCATGATGATCCATGTTGATGGTCACCATCATTCAACATTTTTCAATAGGGGAGAGTGGGGTCAATTGTAACAGGGTACGATTGTAACAGAGCAAAAATTTCGAGTGTCGGGTTCTAGATTTGGTTCCTAGGTGGCGCACAAGGTGTATTTAATAAATCTACATGTACACCCCTGCTGGCAACCATTTTTATGTACTTTTGAAAGAGTTACATCACAAAAGATATTTTCACGCTACGTAAGTACTTTTTTTGGTATTAGAATATTATATTGTAACAAAGTAATTTTGTTTAAACAAATAAAAATTATTAACCGAATATGTAAGTGGACACCTTAATTAACATTTCAATAAAAAAAAATTAGTTTTGTTAATTAACTAGCATTGTTTTTAACAAATGAAGCTGAAATGGCGTCTTGGGGACGATTGTAACAATAAGTAAAGGGACGATTGTAACAGCTGAAAATAAATAATCTTATGTTTACAAACCATTACTTAACTCTTTAAGAACCACCAATAGTTTCCTATATCATTTATATTATGTTGCATGTGCATTATTTTATTTGTCACCTTTCACAGCATAAATTAAAATTTTTAACCCCTTAAAGTTAAAAGTTTAACCCTTTAGGTCTCTGCTCATTATTATTTTTACTCCTAAAATATCACTACTATTTTGATCAATAAAAAAATATATCACAACTATGATAATATGTATAATTAACTATGTTTTAGTTGAATTTATGAACTGTTACAATTGACCCCGTAAGTGGGGACAATTGTAACAAGTGCACGACTGTCAAAAATTGTTAATAACTAATATAATAACATTTAAAATAAGGTATTTATTTTTTTTTCTAGTAGAGGATAGTCTACTTTACTCGTCTGTCAATTAATACTAATAATATATTGGATTTTTTGTTAGTTAAAAATAGTTAAGTAAAAAATGTTACAATTGACCCCACTCTCCCCTACAGTTCATGGTTTTTGATATACCAACAAACTTCTATCATTTCATGATGGAAAATGCTACTTTAATACTATGATGGTTAACCATCGAGAGAAGTTTGACTCTCCAGGACCAACAATCCATGATGGTTCCAACTATACATATCATCTGGAATATATCATCAAAACAATTTGTTGTTGTTTTTTATGTTGGACCATAATAAATCAGTCCAAATTCCTACAGTGGGATGATGGTTGTTCATGATCGTTCCAATATTTGATTTCGAAGACGCTATGATGGAAATTCGTGATGGTTTAACATGAACAAACCATCAAAATAAGTTGCTGTTCTTATGTTAGACTATCATAAATCAGTCTGAATTCCTATATTGATGGTTACTTATGCTGGTTATGATCAAAAAATATAATGGTTCATGATGGAATTATTGATGGTTACCATCAAGATTATGTTGGTTCATCAATGGAAAACCATCAAAATTTTTCACTTGCTTATGTTCGTGTATTGATTGGTTAACATTGTAATGCGATACTTTAAGAATAATTACAAATGGGAAGTATATAAAAAATCTGCTCCAAAAAATTCAATACATTTATGTTTAAATATAAGAGTATTGCATAGAAACTAGTGCAAATCAAGTCATTATCAAAAAACTACAGTGCGTCTAATAATTAGGTCTAATTATTGTAATATACTAATATAATACCTGATATAATGAATAATCTATATTTATATAATATACAGTCTAATTTCACCCATTGATACATAAACATAAACAAGTGCAAACAGGTTTCAATCGCGTAAAAACACTAAAGCTGTATAGTATCACCTGATAGTTAAGATTTTACATAGAATCTTATACTGCGTCTAATAATTAGGCCAGGTACTCTAAGATTGAAGCAACTACGCATTGCTCGCGTTTATTTTAGATGCTACGTATCTTATCTGTTATGTCGGCTTTACGAAGACAAAGCTACAGATGCCCTGTTTATAGCTGTTAAATGTTGTTTTTTGTTTAAGCTTACCTTCGAACTAAAAACATGGACTTGGAATGCGAATTTAAGGAAATGTATTAATGAAATTTAAAAATGAATCGTGTGATATTACAGCAAACGGTTGATACAATGAAAAAAACTTTATTGGTTTCTGTTTAACATTACGGTTGCCTATGTACTAGTTCCATAAGAAACTAAATATATTTTCCCTATTTTATAATTATAAATTATATTTATTTTAACTATACAATTAAGTTAAACGAAGTTAAATTACATATTTTTTAAATATTATTATTATTAATAATAACAATAAGCTTCATTTTTTGGGGCTAAATTTATCAAAATCTATAATCTACCAAATTTTTTTGCTCATAGAACCGCTGTTTTACGTATAAGTTAAGCATCTTGAATCGTACGCCAAAGCTTTAAAAGAGATAGTCTACGTCCATTGTAAATGTTTGTTTTGATTTTGTGGTCAAAGTTAAAATGATATTGCACTACGTTAGTGTATTTAACTAAAGGAATTCTGCAAAATCTCATATTTTCCCTAACGTAAGTTTGATATTTTTCCACGGGCGGATGTACAATTCAGCAGAACTGACGCATGCGCACTAGAAGTGTGCATGCATCAATTATTTGAAATCTCACTTTACTGAAGCTAACGTAAATTTGAGAAATCTCCCTATTCNTTGTATTTACAGTTAACCTAGCTGCTGTAACCAAGGATTGTCTGGGATACCCTGGAGGGTGGTAAACGCAACTTCAAAAAAGCGCCGTGTGATAAAGAGATTAAAGTAAATAAATAATAAATTGGAAATGAATTTCCGATAACAAATTTTTTGAATGTCAAAATTTTGGGAATGTTATTTAAAGCATAGGAAAATCTTGAAGCATTTGTAAAAAATAAAAAATAAAATAATGATACGAAACACTCATTAAAAATATTTTTTTCTAGCCAAAAGCGAAGATTCAAAATAAAATGCGTAATAATTATTATAAAATAATTTAGAGGTGCCGTTGGGCCAGTCTGTCATTGCCTGTACCTAGATTAGAATACAATAGAATTAATTGAGATTACAAAAATATAGCTGATGCCTACTTGTCCCACCAGTCTGCAAAGTAGCTGATTTCGGACCATATGAACCTGAAATCCTTTGTCTTGTTGAGGAAGGAGACCATATTATCCAGAATGTGAGTGACGGAATTGGAAAAATAATCGTCGTAGGTTCTCAGCCATCCGGGATCCACATGAGAATGAGGTACAACAATAACCTGCAAAAAAAAAGGTTATGAAAGGTTACCCTAGTATAAAAAGACTTTTTTGATTTTAAACGTGAAAAGAATATTTTTCTGAATTTCGATTTCTCATTTTATAAGTCACTCGAGTACAGGTCTACATCATGTGTTTTTTACCTAACTGTTTTAGATGAGACACGTTTTCTTAAATGGCTGATGCAATTTAAAAACCATCATGGATGTTTATTTACTTTAGTTTTTTCAAATTGTTGTAAACGAAAAAGATTTTGCGAATTTTTCTAAAGCAGGATTCCCACTCTTCAAAAAAACAAAAATTAAGCACTTTTGAGGACCTTTTTTTGAAAAAATTAAGTATTTCTTGAAAAATTAAGGACTAAAAATTATGCGATTGTTTATCATCGAACATACATATGCCTCCAGTGACATTGCAAATTATTTACCTTCCTAAAAAAAATCAATAGATAATTAACAGGGCTCGCTAAAGAATTACCAGGCAATTTTTGCAAACCGGGGTCGGTTTTTAAAAAAAAAAACATTTTCAGATTATTTAAAATTAACAACAATCAGATTGTAAAAGTTAATGTATGAAGCTAATCTGCATTCCATTTTTAATGATTTCATTGAAATTGAATTGTAAAATTAAGTGCAGAAATTAAGATTAATATTTTTTTTTCATGTATATTAAAAAAAAAGAGTAAATAAAGAAATTAGTCTAAAACATTGAAAAAACTATTTCAACAAGTTTTTATATTTCGCTGCCGGACCAAATGGGCTATATTTACTTATATGATGACAAAATTGAGTACTTTTAATGGCCCTTATTATGCAAAATAAAAATTAAGCAGTTTTTAAGGACTTTTAAGGATCGTGGGAACCCTATAAATTCTAAATTTTTCTTTTTCATTTCATTAAAAATTCGAAACGAAAAAAAAAAACCATTCTAAATGACCAGTAAATACATATAAGTAAACAAAAGAAAAGCTTGAGGCAAAGAGATGCTTAAAAAAAGACAAAAGTGCACACTGATTTGATGCCTGGTTTTGTTCCTATATTCCCAAATGAAACTTCCTATATTTTACATTATTTTGTTCACAACATGAGGTTATCTCCGATGTCAGGAAAAAGGTTCCATTGGGTTTTTTTTACGGGTACTTAACTTTAAAATTTAACTCTCCTTTAATACTCGATAATAGACTAAGAGAAACACTTTAGTTCTTTGTTTATATCACCCTAAAACTATTTTTTTTTTCATTTATAAACGTCAATCTTCGTATTTGTAAGAAATATTCAAGAGTTATAAAAATGAGCATATATGAAATATAAACGTTGACTGTTAAATAAATTTAATGATTCGTCTTGAAAATGAGTGAATGAAATATTTTTTAATGAGGAAAAAAAAGATCATTAGGAATTTATTATTCGAATGTTTTTGGGGCTAATTTTAGAATAATGGTTATTTTAAAATGTTTCTTGGATAAATTTGATTCCTTATTTCGAACTTTTTCTAATACAACAAGAAACAAAAACATAAAAATAGAAAAATTGATAACAATGCTTTCACGAGGAAGAATTGCCATCAGAAGAATTTTAGATTTCAAATTTAGCAACTCACGTGTTAACGCTTAAATTTTTTAAAAAATTTACTTGATTTTGTCAGTTTTTTGTTATTTTTTCAACTAAATTATACTTAATTACAATCCCGCAGTGGACTGATCATTAAGACACGTACATTATTAGACGATTATTAGACGGCATAATTAGACGATATATTAAAGATAGAATATTTGTTACATCAGTTATTATATTAGTACATTATAATAATTAGACCAAATTATTGGACGCTCTGTAGTGTTTTAATAATTACATGTTTTGCACGAGTTTATATGCAATACTTTTATATTTAAACATACATGTAATGGGTTTTAATATAGATTTTTTACATACTTTCCATTTGTATTTATTTTTAACGTATCGCATTACAATGACGTAAACAGGTGCAAACCGGTTTCATCCGCTTAAAAACAACAAAACTGTATAGTATCACCTGATAATTAAGATTTTCCGTAGAATCTTATAGTGGGTCTAATATTTTGGCCAAGGACTGTATGTTTTTTATGGTTATTAATGAAGTACATAGAATTTAGTTGATTGAGACCGCGAAAGTAGTATTTATTATTTTTCTTTTATCAAAACAAATGAGATACGTCAAACTAAATTTAGAAGATTCTAAAAAAAGAAAATCCAAATCGGGTAGACAAAGAACTATATTACTATGCAAGCGGCATTGATTGTAACTTACAAAGAAACCTTTCGAACACACAGTTGGAACATATGTTGTTCTATTTAGAACATTTCACGCAAGGATGCAAATTCCATTGGAATCCACACGCGAGCCAGAGGAAGTTTGAAATGGAAGTTTGTAAAGAAAAAATAATACTTTTTATTTCACTTTTATTGTATCAAATTTCGCCCGGTGATCCTTTCTTTTGAAGTTTATAGACTTTCACTGAACTGGCAAATAATAGTTAGATAACTAACCTTGCTGCCTCCGAATATAGTTACTACACTGAATATACATTTTAGGCGAGAAAAAAAAAGAGAATTTATATTTTCTGCTGAGTTTTAATATTTTCCTTTTTATAATCTGCAATTTAAGTATGTATCCGAATCAAATACCAATTTATCTAGATAGTGGTTAGCAAAAACATACACTCCCTGGCCTAATTATTAGACGCACTAGAAGATTCTATGTAAAATCTTAGATATCAGGTGATACTTTACAGCTTTATTGTTTTTATGCGATTGAAACCTGTTTGAACTTGTTTATGTTCGTGTATCAATTGGTGAAATTAAACTGTATATTATATAAATGTAGATTATTCATTATATCAGGTATTATATTAGTATATTATAATAATTAGACCAAATTATTAAACGCACTGTAGAGTTTCAATAATGACATGATTTGCACGAGTTTATAGGCAATACTTTTATATTTAAACATACGTGTGATGGGTTTTTATTCAGGAGATTTTTTATCCACTTCCTATTTGTATTTACAGTCAAACCCCGCTATAGTGAACACTGCTTATTGTGAACTCCCGGATATAGTGAANCGTACTTTTTACTTGTACCGGCGGTACAAGTAACGAAAGTAAAAGTACTGCCATATATGATTGGAACACAATGGACCAATTATTGGTGTTATTTTCAATTCTCATATGAAAAAATTATAATGTAAAAAAAGAGACCAATTATTAAAACTATTGGTCTGCTAGCACATAACAATTATTTTCAGCTCATATAAAAAAAATTATAATGTAACAAAAGAAACCAATTATTAAAATTATTGGTTTGGAAGCATTATAATTATTTTCGGTTCATATAAAAAAATTATAATGCAACAAAAAGACCAATTATTAAAATTATTGGTTTGCAAGCACATTATTATTAAAATTATTGTTTTGGAAGCGCATTATAATTATTTTCGATCCGTATTCAATAAATAATAATTGAATGGATTTATAGAAGAAGACTATATGTTATACATTTGGCATAGTTACATTCACTGAATAAGCAAAAATGTATTACACACTGGAAACTGGCATGACAAGAATTTACTGCAAGAATTAATAATCTTACAATACATTAAATGGAATTTAAAGCACAGATCCACCCCCTCCCCGAAGAAAAAAAAGAGTACTAGTAATTATTTTGAAAATGGGAAAAATGAAATATTTCATTTTTCTTGGTATATGCATATGCTGAAAATGAATTAAATAAGCAAAATTACGGTTTTCAAAAAAGAACTGTCATAAACGTTATCAGAAAAACGTAATTCTTTATTATTGAATTTTATTTTATTTTGAAGGGAATAACTCAATAGGAAAAAACTATTATTTCTCTTTTATAAATCCATATTCTTATCATATTTTATTAAATTGAAAAATAATATTTCTTTTATAAAAATGTTTTTTTTTCTTCAAATTTTACATAAATAAATTTATATAAACTAAAATATAAAATAAATTATGTAATGGACATAAACAAATTCTATCTAACTATGTATAAAAATCTATGGATGGTATCGCTGTTTTCCATAGTTGACGGTGCATTTATATGGGCTGGAAAATCACATGGTAAGATCCAGTTTTCCCAGAATTTTACATTGGTTTGATTGCCACTAGCATAAAATTAATTAAAGTCATAAAATTATTGCTTTCCTGTAAATATTTTTGTATTTCTGATTTAAAGATTACATGTACTGTTATTATAATGTTTTAAATTTGTTTCTTTTCTAAATTATGAGTTTAAGAGGATTGTTATTACTATTAGAAAAACGTGATTCAATGTTACATTTCAAGATAAAGTTATTTAAATCCGTGTTCGATCTTATTAATCTTTTTACATTTATTATTTTTTTGGGTGCAAATTACATTAATATACGAATATGAATTACGGTTGAAGAGATTCATTTAATGATTCAGAACTTGACGTCCAGCTTCATGCACAAAGTGATGAATGCAAAAAATTTTATTTAAAATATCCATCCGTTCGTTTGGTAAGCAAAAATATTAAATTACAGTGGTAAACACACCCAACTTTTTTTTTTAAATATACTATTAATTTTAAATCTTATTTCAAAAAAATGATTACTTCATCTTACTTAGAAATATGATTTATGCTCACTAATAGATATCAAGGGAAATATTTAGAACTGGAAATTGCCGGGACAAGTATTCTTTGTTCGTAAAGTTTGGTTTTATGAGGCTGAATTCTTCTCCCACTGTTGTGGTGCGTTTAATTCAAACTATTCGTTCGGATGTAATTCAATCATTAAAAAAGTAAAGAGAAAAAAAAAACACCCACTTATATCAGCATGAAAAAAACAAACAATGAAAACCGCACTAGCAAAATAAGGCTTATTTTCACTCAGCAAAAATCTTTCAATGTAAACCTAAAAAGGTTTTTCGGCGGTTTACATGTAAACCTTCTCATCTTAAAACGAGATCTGT